CCCTCCCCCCCCCCCCCCCCCCGCCAAAAAAAAAAAAAAAAGGCTAAACGGTAGATCGTCTCAACAGGTTTGGTAAGGTACCAGTACATGTGCACCTTGGTGATGCAGGGAAAATTGTTGAAATTTAATGACAATTTCACTTGACAAGGTCTACCGCGCATTGTGTAGGCTACCTTTAAAAGATGTGATTACATAGAATGCACCATTATGTAATTCGCGTGTGTATTAATGGATATTGCGCCCAACCACTTTAAAGAATTGAAAAATATTCACTTGAACAGAGCGAATCAGTAACTGGAAAATGATTTGGCGTGTTTGATTAATGGACCATTGCTTAAAACCTAGCCAAGATAACTTTACCGGAATAAACGGCCATTTACGAAATGAATCTTTTACATTTTCGTGAACGCTTGCGATGGAAATGCGCAAGTATTCCGTGCAGAAAAAGTCCGCCACGATAGTTCAGGTGCAGTGTGAACCACTTTTTTTTCCTTTTTCGAATGTTCATTGTTTGTTCTTGCTTCCACATTTCTTCATTAAATAGAATAAATAAAATCGTGTTTTGTTTTCCCTCAATACACAATTGTACAAAACAATAGTGGCTCTCGCCATTTTCAACTTACATTATGAAATAGCGTGATCTCGTCACTTGTGCGTGACAGCATTCCTTTCTCCTGCGTTTTAAACTATAAACAATGACTAAATGTTCATAAACATTCATGGTATGCAAATCAATAACAAGCTTAGAAGACAGGGTATCTTTCCATAACTTAATTATAGACAAACCTGATACTTACTTGATTCTCTGACTTCGAAAACAAAGCACACTGGCGAATGGGGGAGGGGGGGGGAGGCACATGGAAATTTTGGACTCACTTAACACACAAATACAAGACAATTTAGCTTTTTCCTGTTCTTTCTTTCTGCCAATGATTTAGTACACACGGGAAATAGTTCTTAATGATATATCGAGAACTACAAAAACGCTGTCATGTTTAATCTGTTTACAGAGTATGTGTTTTATAATCGCTTGAATAAAAGAAGAAATTGAATTAGAGGATATATTAAAAAACGTTCACTAACTATACAGACAAACGGTGAAATAGACAAACCATAGACAATGAAAGCATAACTACTTAATTGTTGGTGGAGGAAACAATAAGTTCGCAAACAATTGCATACAACACGTACAAGAGCCCGTCACCAGTCAGCATCCACTTTATCACAAACTCGAACTCTAGTATTATTGAAATAACGCTTGAAACAGCATGCGAAAACATTAGTGTAACTGTAAGCTTGTGTGAAAATAGCAGTAAATTTGATGGTATGAGACAGATAAGGGGTGTTTCATTTAACTGGCAACCCGTGGACAGTGAATCGTGAATAGAAGATCCGATAAGATGGGACGTCCCAAGATAGATCGTTTCACCTTGATTGGAAACATGACCTGCTTACGTTGATTTTTAACTACAGTATAAAGAGCTGAACGCGGGTCTTATCAAGAACATAAAGTAGGGTGTGTGACAGTACACCTGTCGATGTAAAACAGAGAATACCATCATTTTGACACATATAACCATCACTATGGAGACATTTGTCTATGTAGCGGTTTTGCTGGTAAGTCAATGTATTTGTTAATCTTATGATGACGAAGAAGATAAGATCCACTTTATATTGACATAATTTTTGCACAATACCTTCAAAAGATTAAATTAAACTTTAGTACTTAACTAGATTTCTCTCAGTACAGTTTTGTTGCTTGATTCTGCTAGTAAGAAGGAGTTGCGGAAATTGGTCTTTTTTGTGTTCGGAGTTTATGCGCAGAAGAAGAACTGTTAGTGTGTGTGTGTGTGTGTGTGTGTGTGTGTGTGTGTGTGTGTGTGAGAGAGAGAGGGAGATAGAGAGAGAGGGGAGAGAAAGAGAGAAGGTGAGAGATCCAGACTAAGGAAGCTTGGTTTCAATTCTAAATTTTGTATTACAGGTATTTCCAGTTGTTTCACATGCAGCTCAACTTAAGCGTGATGGCCAAGCTGTAAGTTACAATTTTTCCAGTAAAAAACCAAAGAAAATTATTTGCTAAAGATTTCAGCTAATAATTCTATGTTAATTGAACGTATTTTTTTAATCAGTTGTACAAACAGTTTCTGTAACTAACATGCTTCAGTAATCACGTCTGCTGAAACTAATGTAAAGCGATACTTGTTGTGACGACAATACCCATTTTTTAGAAAAATCATTAAAAAAAAACCACATAGAATATTTTGTTTGCCTTATTTGTACCAGAACAAAAAATCAGATACGTGGTTTTTAGCATTAAGCTCAACAAAGGTACTGAAATAACGTCTTTCCTGTTCAGTCCTTTATCTTTTATTCTCTTTTATCATTTAAATTTAACCGAAATTATTCCCTCCTCATGTTTTAGGCCTTTTGGGTTCGTTTCAAAATCCGAGCACCTTTCAGTTAATTAGCTACATGATATTGTTCGTGTAAAGTTCCAGCTCAAACCGTGCAAATCATCGTCGGAATGCGGACAAAACAGCTGCTGCCGGGATGTGCGTGGCGTACTTGTTGGAAGGTTGAACGATGGAGGGTCTGGTTTTGGATTCGGAGGATTTGGTGATCTTCTTCTTGGTGTTAGTGAGTATACATAAACATAGCTATCTCTTTAGACTATATCCACAAAAACAATAATTTGTAGAAATAACAGTAAGCTATTGATATAATTCCAGTTGCATTTGCCTTATTATTGATATCATGTTACGTCACATTATATTTACAGTGAGTTTCTTCATTTTTAAAACTCAGAAGCCTTCACAGGCCTACAGGGACATATATACGACGCCCGAGGTTGCTCTTTTTGAAAATTTAATTTGTTGAAATGCCGACATACATTTGGCTGTGATTGAAGCCTTACAAATCCTCTCCCTGGGCCAAATGAAATAAAAATTACTTCTGAATCATAAGAGGGAACGTGTCTTTATTTGTCCTAGAATAGGGGAAATATTTTCGACATAAAATGTCCAAGATGAGTTTAATGTCTCATCTATGTTCTTCTTTAGATATTTTCGTAATCAAATTGATGTCACTGAGTTTAACGTGCATCTTATTTTCTTACCAGGCCCCACTCCATCAGCTACAGGCTTTTGTTCCACAAATTTACAACAAAAAGGAGAACGTTGCGATCCTAGCTCTTGTACTTGTGGATCAGGTAAACACGCCATTTCATATGACATCATCTTCTATTATCTGGGGTTCCGGTAACGAGAAAAAAAAAAAAAAAGGTGGTCTTTAGATATTTTTTAAACACATTTTGTTTTTCATGATGGAAGTTGAAACGCAGCAGATTTAATTTTGTACTTTTGAGAATTAAATTGTACAATCATGTGCACACACCATGATACATGTAATTATACGCTAGCGCAGCTGAGCGGTTTAGGTACAAACTTTTTCTCGCTTGCAAAGCAGATCAAATTCATTCGAGTAACTAACATACAAAAAACAATATTCTTTGAAAAATATGGTCAGTATCGTTTTGTAAATATGCATTACTTGAAATTACATTTATGTTCAAGACGATCTCGATTTAACTTTCTTTGAAATATTCAATTGTAGGTCTGACGTGTTATCGGCCTATCAGTGGCGCCTGCTGTCCCCCACATCAGTGCTACGACTCCGAGTGGGTGAAAAAACAAGAAAAATATTGGCGGGAATGTTTTTCCAATCCAAGCTGTCCTTTGCCACCATAAGCTCCCGTAAGGGACCTGCGCCAGCTTTTGGGGCGAAAAAGAAAACGATGGCAATGTTCAATTTTTGGGAGAATAAAATAATCTTCTTAAACGTATCGACCATTTTCCAAAAAAATTAAAGTCTACAATACTCTGTAAATATACGTTCTTAAGGCCACTTTTTCAGAAGTTCGCTTTGGTGGAATGAACCTTTGTTTATCTATCAAAAATGTAATTATTGGACCAATAGTATTACATATTGTTGCTCTTATTTAAAAGGACATAGCATCATAATATACTCATAACAGTTGCATATGACATAAGCTTACAAAAAAAAAAAAAAAAATAAAAAAAAAAAAAAAAAAAAAAAAAAAAAAAAAAAAAAAAAAAAAGACGACGTGCAGTCCATATATTAACCTCGTTAAATGTATGAATATTTGAACTTAATGCTCTCCATGTATGAAAAATGTGGTACCAGTCACACGGTTTAAGGCCAGGGCGTGACCCGAGGATCAGTTTTATCTTCTCGGGTCATCTACAGGTTCATTAAGTCGCGTTTAGACCAGTCCTACATTAAACCAAAATTAAAATTCACCTTGCTGACGTCATCAAAAAGACTAGTTGCGTAGACTTTGCGTCATGATGGATCCCATGTGATCTGATCATTTGCTGACGTCATGATGAGTTCCCTTATATTGGATCTTGGCGTCTGTAAACCAATTTCTGTTGCACGTTAGAACAGTTAGAAACGCTTATTTACTTTATGTCACGAGAAAGATCACTGATAGATTCAGTGTTTTGCGCCGGGTGGGGGGGGGGGCATGTTTTCAGTGGCAAACATCTTTAGAAAATAATATTAATAATAATAATAAGTTTTTATACTAACTTCAACCTAAAGCTAAATAATACAAACATTTTATGTTAATAAAAATTTAAGAAGGAAAATAATTAAGATCAGTTAAGCACAGGCCTCTAAATCTAGTTTAATAAAACTGACTAACGTGTTACAGGAGTATTCAGTTTTAAGTTTGGTCGTTTTTTGGTCGTTTTTCCTTTATTTTCTATTGAGTTTGAAGATTAAAAGATAACTCAATTTATCATTGTCAGTCTGAATATTAATTTTATTGTGCAGCGGTTTTCCAAGGTGACTAAGGGCGCTTTCCCAATGGAAGCGTTTTGAGTGCGTTCGAACACACAAAAGAGTTAACCCCCCACCCTAGTTGCTCGAGGGGGCATGTTGTTCAGTAAATATGATTGCATTCAGCGAGTCTTGCAAGGTTGGATCGATCTAAAAGAACGATAGTTTCATTGGAAACGCGTCCTAAGTTTGAATTTACAGCCTAATAGGAGGAGATACACGTGAGCCCTATCGCCCTATCCCCTATAAAGGGAGGCGAAGACCGCAGAGACACTAAAATAGGTGGACGCGAAACCCCCTCACCTAAAATTAACTTATTAAATTTATTCTATAAAATTCTGTCAAGATATATTAACACCAGCTCGACCAGTTAATTTATATGAATTTTTCGCCCTATAGATTTTTGTCCGAGTGCACTAAAAGTTTCTGCCCAATTATGTAAATCTCAAATCCGTCATAAAAAGTAATAAACTGACCAATTCAATATTAATTTTTTTCATTTCATTTCTTTATTTGGGCACTTAGAGTGCACACATATACAGAATTGCACGTACAATATCAGCCAGGCCCAGCAAACACTGTAAGGTATAAGCTTAACTAACGGCATCACTAGTCAGGCAGCTGCGCCTATTTTGCTTGGCTTTCAGTGAGTCTGTCACTACAGGAAACTCGAGTCCACATATAAGCTAAGCGTGTGGCCAAATGTTACGGAAGTCAAAGCTCAGCTCATATCCTACAGTGTGCACTGGACTTGATTTCCTTTATTTTCCATTTATTCTTTATCTTTACATTTTCACCGAGGTGATGAAATTCACGCAGGCGTAAACCTCTCCAGAGCTGGGGCTCACAAGCTGAGCCGTGACGTCATAATCAGACTGAAAAGAAAAATGCATTTGAACGTATTATCCTTAATATTATAAAATGTACTTTCTTCATTACGTGACCAAAATTTTATTTACGGTTATGAATATTAATATCTTATAAACGCATTTATTCACCTTTTTTACCTATTGACTTATCAATTTTCAGTTCATTAACCTCTCCGTTTATCCATTCATTCATATGTTAAATCATTCATTTTATTTGTATAAAACGAAAAGGAATGGTGAAGTAAAGAATAGAATTTAATTTTAAAAAAAAAATGAAGTATAACAGTATCATAATATCCTCCACTTACCGACCCAAACAGGCTAGTGATAACGTTACCAACGGCACCAGCGTCAGGCTTCGGCAAATTCAGCTGATAGGGGCCGACGGAGAGTTTGCGAGGCGCAGACGGGCAAGACAGCGAAAATGCACTGGGGCCGGCGCCGTTCAGCATCTCCTTGACTTGTGTTGCGACGCTCTTTATACCGGCTGACGCACCTTCCGCGGTGGAGCGGTCCATGATGTGACAGGCGTCTTTGTAGGTGCTGTCAAATATGAAAGAAAAAAAAAACGCGCAATATTTGTATAGCTGAACATTTAGAATTTGTGCGAAATAAAGGAATTTACCAGGATACTAAATTCTAAATTTTCTTTATGGTGAAAACGCGCATGAAAGCCTTAGCAAGTCAAACAAATAACTAAATAAGATCAAATAAGTACAGGGCTCTAAAAACTAGTTTAAAAGTGTTGCGGCAACGTTCAGTTTTTTTATAATAATTTCAATAATTGCCATTGTGAAACGAGTTTGAAATTCAAAAAGAATTTACCATGAGCCAGGCTCAAAAATTCGAAAATTTTCTTTTTAAAAAAAGCAACAAAGTTAAACTGAGTACATAAATAAATAAACGAAGAAAGAAATAAAGAAATTAACATACCAAGACCCAACATCACTCAGACACGGTAGAGTTAACCAGACGTATATGCCAAACAAGCCCCCAGTCTTTCTCTTAATAGTCAACTTAAGGTCCACATCATCTACCTGTGACAAAATTTCGGCGTCGAAGGAGAGGGTCATAGAGCCGGGAAAGGAGACTGGATTTGAGGCAGAAATGCTGCTGACTTTTACCTTGCTGCCACCTGAAATTAGCGTTTGACATACCTTTTTGCTTAATTAAACTTGATGCTTATGTATAATGTTCGATATCAGGTTAACGCATATTTGGGATGACGTCTGATTTATGTACATTGAGATCCGCGCAAGCACCAACAAAATCTGCCCGCGCGAAAACGCACAGGCGCGCACGCACAGATACAAACACACATACGCACACACACTAGGCCTACTATTCTGAAAAAAGTTATTATTCGCATTAGGTTCAGAAATCTTAAAAGACATTTAAAATAGATAAACAAGTTGTCACTTTAAGTCTTTTATTCCTTTTATTTAAAATAAATTCACATATGTATTCATTTGTCCATTAGTTTGATTAGTAATAAATCTATTTCAACTTATTTTCTTATTTGTCTATGAGCAATGATATCAATAACAACTTATTTATAAATAATTAAAAAATAATAAAAAAGTGAAAATTCAACAGTTTGAAAGACAAAATGCACTCACCACATTGCTTCCATGAAAACTTGGCCTCAGTCGCTAGTACTAGCGCGAGGGAGAGGACCGCTAGACGCCACATTTTCTGTCTTGACTATTAATGTTCGACGACGGTTGTAAGACAGAGGAAAGGAGAAATTATTTTAAATAAGAGGTCTCTAATTGTGACGCATGTTTTATAATTAGTTGGGACGGTCCGTGTATCTCTAGGCCAGACTGAAAACTATTTGTTTGACGTCACTACTCACTGAAAAGAAGCCAGGCGGGTGGTGACGTCATTTTTCTGAGTTATCCTGTGAAAAAATGAACACTGAATACAAATGTGCATAAAATTAGTGAAAAAAGTATATGTGTGGTCATGGTAAACGTTACGAAAATACCTTCGCGCCAAGGAATATCGTCTGAAAAAGGGATACAACCGGTAACAAAAATTATGTCATCGGGACAAGGCCCCTAGAATGCCCACTGATGATTGAGTTGAGACATTTCTCGCTCATTTCTACAATCCAGTGGTATTTTATGTCTCGATAATGATTCACGTGCAATTAAATTTACCGTTGTATATTGGACTTAACCATCATTGTGTACAAGTTACAGCGCTGTGTTGTGTTTTCATGAAACATACTTAGCTACGACCGCCGGCGGAATCGATTAGATTTCAATACTCAATCATTTTTACTAAGAATTAACCAGTAGACAAGTAGTTACACACATAATTCAGCTGTTTGTTCGAGAAAAGAAAATAATTGCATTCGACTAACTGAGAATCTACCTTCGTGATGGATCTTAATGAAGCTTGTTTAGTCCATTCTGATTATGTGTGTGTGTGTGATCGTGTATTATTCGTGTGTTATGTGTGTGTGTTTCAATTACTATAATGGGGCCTGTATGCACAGCATACTGCACAGTTCTCGTGTTAATCACTGTGCTATAACATATATATATATATGCTATAACCCTTTTGTTACTGTATAGTTTTTTTGTATTTTGTGAATAAAAAATTAAATACACAGTGAGGTTCAAATGTTTCAAGACCTTAAGTCAATTATGCGTTGTCAAACCCAAAACATATCTGATATGGCCTAAGACTTTGGAAAGGAGACAGGTGTTTCAGCACACGAGGAGGCGTGAGGAGCACGGAGGACCACAGCGAGGCTGGGATGATACTTATAACCTAGTTTCGTGATGTTCTGCGATACCCTGGATTGCGCAGTGGACTGGTCGTCCGCGGTGTAACAGGAATAGAAGTCCGGTAGGAACCGTAGTCCGTTCCCAATTACTTTGTACAGGTGACATTCAACCCACATCCTGACCCCAATACTCCAACTAACCCTAATCTGTACTAATCATATGGGAGTCCGGACTTCACTCCTAGGACTTCCATTCCTGATACACTGGTTTACCACAGAACCAAGAAATACGACCAGTCCTTGAAATACTGACCATGTCCAAAAGAGCTGACCGCAGCAAGCACATGAAGTTTGGGCTCATTCCCTGGGTCCACTGAAACTGTCAGTCTACGTAAATTGATCCAAATTCTTTGTCAGGGTAACATTGATGGGTTACGGAACTTTAACACCTGAGCTTTAAAAAAAGCTTGTTTCAGTAGAGATACTTCCCCAAATTAGGTTTTACTTCTCCGATTCCCTAAAAAATACAGTTACCCTTAGTTGTAGTAACATGTATATAAATCCTCACAGCGCATACGACACGTGAAAAGCCTTGCAAGGCCAAATAACCCGATACTACGCCCGTTAGACGTAATATGTGACCACTCCGTGCTTGTAGGGTGTCAATGAGGGTCTAGTCACGAGATGAACTATAAAGAGATGAACCATAACACTTAATCTAAATATTCTAGATAACAATAGTTTACATAGTCTTTTAAAACATGCTATACCCAAAGGCTTAGATCATGGGGGTTGACTCCCCCCTTCCTTACGGCCACTTTTTAGAAATACCATCGCCCTGCCATCAGTGGCGATCACCACGTACTGCGTTACTACCTATCTCTCATGGAAACGCCTTTATACTGTATAAAGAAAATGAAAACACAGGCACTTTTAAAAAATGATCTGTATATTATTGAAAATGTTTTATCATGACTGAAAGAAATTTTACATTTAAGAAAACATGAATGAAATGCCAATAATTGGAGAAATTTTGGCCGCCTTGTTAGAAACTGGTTAAGCTGTTAAGCTGTGTTGAATCCAATCGACTATGCTACATGCAGGTTGTATAAAAATATACATATTTCTGTTAGTGACGTATTCTTTTCTACACTGTAACTTCAGTTTTTCCACAATAATAAACCTCCATGGTATTGTGCCCGGACAGGTTTTCTGAAATGTCTGTCCAAACTTGAACAAGCAGGTGCTAGTTGATGCCTGGGATGAAAATGCCATTCATTGAAAAAGTCTGAAAATATAGCATGGGGTCTAGGGGGCAGAGTCCCATTCCTGTTTGGCTGTAATCTTCCAGATAGTTATGAACGAGTAAAAAGGTACAAGTGAGCAGGGCTCCGTAACTAGAAAACATCGCGTATTGTAAATAGCGATATCACATAGAGGCTACAATGTATTATATGGGGCGAGTATGGGTGAGTTATGGCATCAAGACACTTGCGCTCGGTCGCAGTGCGCCATGCTTTCGAGTTAAAGGGTCCAGGTTTTTAGCGTCTGTCTGCATTCAGTCACCGCATGGTTTGTCGCAGCCACATCACGCATCAAAAATGTTCAATAAATTCCTCCATCATGCATCAAGCCTTGAGTTTCACTCCTCTAATAATGCCTGCCCTGATGCCGGATATCTCCCCTCCGTAACGCTTCATTTCTGTGCGTGCTTCTCGAATCTGAAAAGAAAGGCATATTTACTGCCTATTCCCCAAAACTTAATAAATAATAAAATTATGATATTTCCACACTTAGTATACCATGTATAGTGTATAACATGCCCAGACTATTGTTATCTCTGAAAAAATGATTCAGAATGCAACACGTATGAAAATTTAATGCATACAATACAATATAACTGAGCTGAATTCATATCAAAGCTCGGTATTAAAATTTATAATTTGTATAACAATGACACAATCTACTATCTTGAAGATGTCCGGATGCAGATGTTATCTTTTTCATACAAAATCCTACAGAGCTCAGAAATAAGATTCAATTCAAACTGTGCCTTTGTTCATGACAGAAGGCCCACTTTTCATACGAACGAGACAAAGATATCATCACAGCTCTCGGATTACATTTCTAAAATAGCACATTACTTTAGGTCACAGACATGAAAATGCTTCATCTTCTTGGCACTTCAATTATGCACCTTGATCATAATTATATAATTTTAGATTCATATCTACATTGAATTACAAGCAATGTGTCTTACAATAAGAGTATAACTTTACACAAATAATGACTTCAACAAAGAAATCTGACACAAATAGATATATATATATCAGCCAAAAGCTGTTGAAACCTCTCATCTTATATTCGACAGAAATATAACAGCCAGGCTAAAAGCGATTAACAATTTTTTCTCATAAAATTGGGATGTTCCCTATGCTCACCTGTCCCTTGCGTCTTATCTTGGCCTTTCTGTATTTTTTACGATGTTTCACACGAGGATTTTTTAATTCTTTCTTGCGGTGTGGTGTAAGACCTTTGTTCTTCTCAATCTAGAACAAAGAGAAAGAACATTTTCAACATACAAGTCTATGGGTCAACTGCGATAAAATATTTTTTCAAAATTTGGATAAAAAAGTCAAAATTAAAGAGATAAAATGACAATATACTTATAAATACTTTAAAAAATCTCACTAACCTGATAATTTATCCCTCTTTTCCCACCATCTTCTTCATCTTCAATTTCTCCACCTTCATCTGCTAAATCTTCAGCACCAGTTTCTTCTTCCCTGAAATAAATAAATGCAAATATATATAATATCAGAATGGATTGTAGAGCGTCCTCCACGTTATTTAGTAAATCGTCAAATATTTATTCATTTTTCTAAACTTTGAGTAGCCCATTTTGAACACATTACTTCATTTTTCTTTCTCCATCAACATAAAGATTTACACACCATACAGACAAAGCTTAAGACATTAACATTTATAACATATATTCACCCCTCATCAAATTGGCCTTCTTGGTCACTTTCTTCCTCTTCCTGACCATCAGCGACTTGTCGTCTGCCTTCCTTCATCATCTGATAGAATTCCAGAGCCTCTTTCTCATCCTTAGTCTCAAACCTCTCTTCCCCTTTCTTTTTCTTAAAATAAATATATAAATAAAATAGACGAAATACCAGGAGTGAACTTCACAAAGCGCATTTAACGGTGCAATTTTTTTTGGTGAACAGGACTTCTTCCAACAAATTCAAATAAACAAATCTAATATTCATGATATAAATCAAACATATGAAATGTGTCCCATGTTCTGAAGATTTCCTTTAACAAGATAACAATGCTAAAAAAATCCTCCATCAGTTCAGTACTGACTTTGGCTGACCAATTCAAAGCACATGTTTTCGAGATCCTTAGCTTACTTTAGATTTATTTTCATTGCTGTCACTTTCCTCTTCTTCCTCCTCCTCATCATCCATAAGCTGTGACAGCTTCTTTTTCTCTACACCTGTCTTCTTTGTTTTGGGAAGTTTTCTCTTCCTGGAGGCATATCAAATTGTGTATTTGGTAAAATAATCTGTAGTGTATTTAACAAAATAATCCACAGGAATGACCCAGTACTGTCAACTGAGCAAAAAAAGATGGGGTATTGAAGAAAAAAAAAACTGAATAAATTATATGGATGAGGTACATGGTGATAACAATTTAGGAAATCTGGATCATCATCACGAAACTGAAGTGGGAGGACAAAAATATGAGAAAAGTGGATAAATTAATAGGTCACTAAGACCAAGTTTTTTTTTTTCATTTTGTGAATCAAATTGATATTAATTAGTACCAAAGGGTTTTATTTTTTCTGTCAAATTCAAAATCATGTTCTAATGATTTAGGTCTTCAGTCTTCACATAAAATTAAGCAAGGAGGTGAATCACTACTTAATTGTTAAATTTTCAGGAGTATTATTTTGAAGTATGAAGAGCTCAGAAATACCACTATGTGCTAATCAGGACCACTACGGGGAGAGGTCTCATACGAACGAGACTAGTATATCATCATGGCTCTCAACTTTCAGCAATTTGTTTTCTTTACAATGAGTTTCAAAAAGACAACCAGCGTAGTTTCTTGCTTGCAACCATGGCATCTGAAGAGACTTAACAAGTTTTTCTTCACATGAGGTATGAAATTTTTGACCCCTCTACTTAAGCTCCTCGATCACCCGTGATTTGTCATTGGGATTTTAAGTCTCTATAAAATTAATGATTTACATTTTTACCATCATTACAAAAGCGACGATAAAAAACCATTTCATCACATCCCCATACAGGTTGCTAGGGTAGTGCTAAGGTTGCTAGGGTAGTGCTATTAAGCTTTTGTGCTTAGCCAATCACTACTCTTTCATCAATTTTTCATCAAATGGTTTAAATTTGCCTCAAGTGAAATCAACCCTATTTTGTTTAGCCAATTAAGGTCAGTTTAAAAATTTGTTAAAATAGGCAAGTGCTAGCATTTCACCAGGGTTGAATAAATTTCAATATTCTGTCTAAATCTTAGTACAAAATAAAACCATTTGCTTTCACCTGTCTAACATCACCCTCTTCTTGCCTTCCGCCTGCTGAGGTCTGATCACTTCTCCTTTCTTCACTCTCTCCAAGATGTCATCTATCTGAAACTGCAGCTGCTCGTCCACAGGAAGCAAATCTTTTATGAGCTGCAAAATAAGTTACGATAATAATTGAACTAATTTCTTCATATAGTTCTGAATTGTGGTCAAAGTAGACATTAATTGAAGTCAGAGGAGGTTACTGCATTTATTAAATAGTTTCTTTAAACAAGTACTAAAATCAAATGTTATCTCCCCCCTTTTTTTGTCTCAAAAGAAATATTTCTCAACCTGGGATGTCCGTTTAGCCTCCTCACTCCATTTACAAGTAGGAGGTTTCCTTAATCAAAGCACATTTTAGTAAAATATTTGCAGTTCAAAAATTTCTCACCCTAACCAGAGGTTGCTCACATTTCTATACTGTACCAGTCTCCCAATGACAGGATGGTTTTGTACTGGGGTTCTTCTTGCCTTCAATATGAGGTAGAACTGGACATTCAGACAGTAGCTGAAATAAATACAGGAAGCTAAATTGAATCTTTAGAGGTGTTTAAACTACTTTGATAAGCACCTGAGCAATATATATTGCCAGTATTTATGCATGTGTAACTTTTTACTTAATGATTATATTAAGTGTAGTGTTTCAGCTTGATACAAATTTTGTTTAAAAAATCTGTAAAGCTTTGCTTCCCTGCCGTTATGCATACATGTGGTACAGGGAATTTATAATCAAGGCCTGTAGACTGCTATGGGCCAGTTTTTTAAAGAAAACATAGACTGAAAATTGGTGCTATATAATATCTCTGTGACTTACTCACATTCTTTCATTTGACAATCAAATCAATCTTAGGCTACTAACCTTAGATACAGTCTCATCTTGGTCTCAATGTAATCAGCAGCACCACCTGGCGGTATGCTCCCATCTCTCACCAGCTTAAACATGGGTTCTATTCTCTCTTTAACCTCTGTCAATTTCAGTTTGAAGTCATCAATCAGTTCAATAAGTTCTGGTGACTCTTTTTTGAGCAATTCCATTTTTTTCTTCTTTGAGAGCGAGGACAAATCTGTGTGAATTTTCTCTTGCTCTGTGTCTTCTACTTGTTTTGATTTCTTTGTGTCCTAATCATAAAATATAATGCAAGAATTTAAAAATTATTGTAATTCAGTAAATGTACTTAATAATTATATTGTTTTCTTTTTGTTTTGTTCAAAATGCCTTTGCAAAATGGTATCTTTAAGTGATTAAAGTTATAAGTAAGAAAAGTGTGTGCACTTAACATGTTTTACCCTCTTTAAATAAAGTTTATTCTTCTTCTTCTTATTATTATTAAAGTCTTGATTCATTCCAAAGTCTGAAATATCTGGCAATCAGCTTTGTCCTTCAGACATCCCCTTTCCTAGAACACCCTCATTTCAAAAACAAACTGAGATGAAAAAAACTATTTGAACAAACCTGGAAAAGTTCAAAACCAAAGTCCTCCTCACTGAGTTGTTCCGCCATTTTTTTCTGTAGTGCAAGTGCCTCCTTCTCTTCCAGTTCAGCATCTCCTTCCTCAGAGCCACTAAGGTCTATTGAAAAAAATAAATAAATAAATAAAATTAAATAATAATAATAACATATCTGAAGATGAATTAAAAAAAATATTAATCAAACATAAATTTTAATTGAAATATTCAATGAGTTAGATTCCTGATACTACAGCACAGCACACCACGTTGTCCGAAGCCCATCAAAAGATATTTTGTTTTCACTATTTCCTATGCGAAATTAATCCAAAATAGCACATTCAATGCCATAAGTTGATTCATTTTGAAAGGACAGTACTTAAATATATCTGAAAAAACTGCTTAAAAAATTTACCCTAAAGATTTATGAGTATAAATTAAAAATTGCCACCTACCAATATCAACATCTTCAACATCAGCTCCATAAAACTTAGATTTCTTCCTTCCCCATGCTTTTTCATCTAAATCTGAAAATTTTATGATAAACAGAAAATAAGCCCATACCAAAAGGCACATCATTATAGCAAAATATACTTAAATTTTCTTGGCAATTTTGCAGATTTATCACACATGAAAATAGTGTGAAAATAAACATGACTTTTGTTTCAACTAAATTTTCACCAAAGAACTGAGTTGTACAAAGCAAGAAAATAAATTACAGTTTTGGCAAAATAATAAATAAACTAGAAAAGCACTCTGAGAGTGCAGACCTGTGCCAAGGCAGCGATTTTTGATTATTATTGATTGATTATTGATCCGGATCACCACCAAAAACTAATCATCTCTTCCTTGGCCCACTTCTGACAGTTCCTGAAAATTTCATCAAAATCGGTCCATAATTTTTTGAGTTACGTTGATGACAAAACAAACAGACAGACAAACAGGGGTGAAAACATAACCTCCTTGGCACAGGTAATAAACAAACAAAAAATTAAATAACTTGCGTGAAACTACCAATATTTCATTCAGTACAAAGCAATCCTACCATCCTCCCCATCCTTAGCAGAATCAGCGCTGTCGTCTGCTCCTTCAGCCTCTTCATATCCTTCTTCTTCTTGGTCTTCATCTTCCTCATCATAGTCTGACTCAACTGGAAGAACCTCCTACAACATGGAAATAAGTTCTTCATTAAGTCTATGAAGATCAGTAGACATCCTGCTGTAAACATATATACAGTTTACATGAAATCTATTTCTGGTTTTGGTACATTTCAGAACCAACAAGTAAACCAAGAGGGACTTTTTGGTCATCGAAAGAAGAATACAACCATTTTGTCTGCCTGCATGTTCAGACTGCACAATCATTCATTTTGCAATGACATACATTTTAACTCCAGAAATGGATTAAAAGCAAATATCCATTTAAATATTATCATTTTTGACATTTCAGACTTACTTGCCATGTCATTTACAATGACAGTAAAAATTCTTAAGATGCTATCCAATATAACTCTACAAAAGACATTTTACATGACTACCTATAACATTTACTGACCTTATTACCTGAATTTAGTAGTAAGTTTAAAGGCTCAAATGGAAATTAATGCTTTAGTGAACCCCAACTTATGATTATAAACTGTGTAAACTGTATAATAATTATAACGTAAGTCTTCACCTCTTCATCAGAACTGAAACCAGCAGGTTCCATCATATGACTGCCCAATGGAATCTGAAAATTTGAAACAAACCAAAATGAAAGAAAAATTTTGCACGTAACAATAAATTAAATAAGAACTTATTATGATTACTGTAAGTTGTAGTTGTTAATATTACTCATGATCTAATAATTTTAATTTCAATAACAGAAAACTTGCAATTTTTTTCATTCAATTCACTGATTTACTAATTTTCCTGATTTCCAATATCCTGATCTGATCAGGTACCACATTTAAGCCTAATTAATACTATCTTTTATACTTAGCACACTGTCCGATATTATGAGAGCTCAGAAATACCACTACAATACTAATCACCGCACTGGTTCCAGTGTCATACGAACGAGACAAGTAGTTCATCATTGCTCTCTGTATATGATGCCTTTTAGAAGCAACTTTATCAGTCCACTATGCTAACGCTAACCCCTCAAACAAAATGCTGAAGCTGGACCAATAAAATTTTGTTAATTTTTTCAGTTACTGGTAAAGATTTTGTTTTAATGGTAAAAATCTGTACTTGATACAGTTCTCAACACTATTCTGTTTTTAGAAGTTGGCCACATTTATTGTTATGTTCAAAATATATAAATATAAGTATGTTGGCATTTTCATCTTTTCTACGTCATTTTTTTTCTTTTCATTTTGTTATTTTTGACAATCATTCATTTACATTCTAATGATATGTATATCTTAAGAACCACAGGATCTCAATATCAATAAATAACCCCACTCCAACCCCCCCCCTTTCAGACACACAGAAAAAAAAAAAAAATCCACCTTATCTCTACTAGCATGGAAGTCATCAATTTCATCGTTGAAGAAGTCTTGTGACTTGGGATCAGGCAAGTCAGTGTCGAAGTCTTCTGTAGGCAAACTCCTTCTCTTTGCCGCAGGCACAGCTTTCTTCACTCTGAATTGTTAACATAAATGATTGTGAACTTTCTACTTGCCATGTTATTGTTGATTAGTATTTAAGATGCATATAAATAACTAATTCAAATGACATTGTAAAGTCCATGCGGACTTCATTTTGTATTTTCAAACGCCCATTACCAATAAAATTCTGAGCACAATTAAAATTATTTGGTGACCAACATTTTTCGGATTTAACTTTATGTATATTATTGCTACTATTACCTCTTAGCTTTCCCCATACTGTTAATTTTCGAGCGATTTTTTTCAGCGCACGTGTAACTACTGTGACCTAAATTTCATTATGGCGGAGCAGGTCTCGCGATATTTGCACGTGCACGAGATGTCCTTGTTGTAGCAACTTCGAACATGGCGGACAAGTAAAAGAATTGAAATTTTCGGAATAAGTTTTATTTCATTGCAAAGGTTAGTGCTTATATATAGAATTAAGTTGATAATTCTTTTCTTAGGGGTTTAGCTGTTAAATATTGGTCTGATGAATGTATTTCACTTCTTTAATCCCGGTTTTTTAGCTAATAGAAGAAAGTAGACTGAAAAATTCCTCCGAGTTGTGCAGTTTCGAACTTGTACAACATGTAGATTATAACAAAAGTAAAGCAATATCTAACGTAAGTTTTTGTTCTGCTACAGTATATTCAAAATACAGCAATCTAATTTTATATCATAACACTTAGGACTTCAGCAAAATGACAGACATTACAGAAACCATTACCCGCTTCAAAGCAGTCTGTGCTGAGTTGAACTGCAAACCATGTCCGTACATCAATAGAGTACTGGAAAAAGAAAAATTGGATGCTGAGGAGTAAGTCCCTTAATTTTCAAAAATAATATATGTTTTGGATTTTTTATATGACGAAGTGACACAATTCTTAACAAATTTCTCAGCACAATTTGCCACAACAGTGTTTCTTGATTTGTGAAATAAAAAGTTATAATATTAATACAGGCACTGTACCAAATCGATGTGGATGAACTATGGCATTTGGTGATAATTGAGATATTGGGAGAAATTTGCTTTTTTGTGTCACCTGTCTTACCCAAAGATTTGCTGTCAAATTGGAGAGATGTAATTGGACATGCATGTAATAATTGGAATTCTGACTAATTATAAAATTTGTTTTATGCAAATTAATTGGTGGAGGGATTATTGTGAATAATAATTAATTCTATTTCATATATTTTCACTTTTATCTTTACTTGCTTACTTGCTCTTACCCAGTACCTGGCAGTCTTTAAAAAAATTCCTTCTCCATGGATAATATGGCTACCCCAGAAATGATTTTTTTTTTTTTTTGAAATTTTTTAAACAGTGAAATAATGAAATATAAAAGCCAATCAGTCAGTTACTGTCAATTGCTAACATGTATTTTGTATTTGAATATTCCCTGAGCAACTAACAAATATAGTCCTGACCTTTGGACCAAAAATAGGAAGGACATATTACTAGTACATTCATTTGGACAAAATTTTTGTAAACTGAGAATAACTGCCAGGTTGCTTTTGTTACACGCAGACTCTCTGATGTTATGATGTGAAAACACCACTAGACATAATGTATATATTGATATTCATCATGCAAATATATCTTTAAAATCTTTAAGATTATATGCATTGCTTCAATGATATGCACTCTGAATCTTTGATGTGTTTGCACCATTAAATGAAAATGTAAATTCTCTTCAACCTTTACATAGACACAGGGAGATGGAGGGGTGAGTAGGTGGTGTATTATATTTAACTGCAATAGAAATGCACTTAAATGTGTTCAGCTGCCAGTGAAGTCAGTTCTTTTGTTAAATCACTTTTGATTGTAACAGTTGACACAATTCCCTTTTTGATCTGATTCGTAATTATTCTGCCAAACTTAAAATATTTTTATGGTTTGTTTTATAATATCTTTATACTGTTCCCTTTTTGTTATTATTGTTTCTTTCTGTTTCCTTTTTTTTTTAATTCAAAGCAACTTGTAATATCATTCTTGGCAATTAATAGATAATTTTTTTATGTCAAAAATAAGATATTTTGGAGGTCACATGATTGAAAGTGATTTACGTTAAAACTGACAAGCTTAGGCTTTGAGTTATCTTTTGATTTGTAGAATATTTATGTTGGCTCTATTTGCTTTATGTTCCATTTGCTGTTTTCATTAGAAAGTTCCTATTTATTGGTTGAAAATAAAAAAAAAATTATTTTAATTTTCAATTTAATTTTACATTATTTTGATTTAAATTTTTTTTACCCAATAAATATTTCAGAGCAATACAACCTGTACTAATTTACATAACATGTGCCCTACATATTAATTGCAAAGTTATCTATATTTTTTATTACTAAATGTTTGTTTGTTTGTTTTCAGGAATTCTTTAGAACAGTTAAAATTATTTAACAAAATTTCTTAAACATGCATTATGTCGTAATTCTTTGACTTAATTATATATTATAGCTTTTTAAAGTTGGCTTATTTTGAATATTGAATTTATTATTTTCAGTTGGTTTGTTTGGTTTGTTTACATTAATATTTGTATGTACGCAGCACCTTTATTTAAGAATAGCATGGGCTTGCTAAGAGTATTTATTTTTTTATTCATTTATTTATTTAATTATTTATTTATTTATCTATTTATTTAATAGCAATTCAGTGTTGTAGCTTATAAAGCTCAAAGCACTGCACCTATTTATTTATCATCCAGTCAGTATTTTAGGCAGTGTTTACCACAAAGGCTTAAAAAGGTTCAAAGCACTACTTAAATCTGGATGCAGCAGATGCTTTTAGTATGGAGTACCTTTTATACAGTGCTCCCAGTTCCACCACTGTGCACATATTTTGTATTTAATTTAGCTTATCAGTTCAGGATTCACTTGGAGCACATTGGTTTTCATCAAATTAGAAGGAATTTGAAAAATTTGAAAAGTAGATAGAAAAAAAAACACGAAAAAGTAAATTTTTGATGTAAATTAAAAAATAAAAGTTATTGTATACTTAGTATTAAATTACACCTGCTTAGTATTTTATGACTCTGACTTCCACAATAGAAAGGAAAACTGTCATATGATAAAAGAGAAATGAATTTTAAAAGTCATTTTATCCAACCATTCATTTGTTTCATCATTCATTCATTCATTTGTTCACTCGTGTGTTTGTTCGTTTATTCCTTGCCTTTCAACCGTTCATCCATTTGTTCATTTGTTCATTTGCTCATTCTTTCCTTCACTCATGTCCAGGGATTACAAGGACAGCATGCACATGAGCCTGGCTGGAAACAACCACCTGATGACCAACACCAGGATCAATGACCAGGACGTCCAGGTGCTGTACAAGACCCTCTATAACAACATGTACGTCACCTCCATAGACCTCAGGTACAACCACATCACAGACGAGGGGGCAAAGGCCATTGGGAAATTATTAGAGGTATAAAGTTGTGTTTATTATTTAAGTGAAAATAATTAGCTAAAACTTGAAAATCAAACGTTGTGATGTATTGGTTAATAGACTTAAAATAGCTTACTCATATTAATAGAATAAAAATTTTGAGAACAGCCCTCTTTGCATTTTTCACTTTGGATTAAGTTTTGTTTTATTTATTTATTTATTTATTTATTTATTTATTTATTTTCAGGAAACTCCTCTCCTTCGTGAACTAAATCTGATGTGTAATGAGATAGGTGAGGCGGGGGCAGAGGCCATAGCCAGAGCACTGCAGGTAGGTAAACACTTGTCTGATATTAGTTAATTATTACTTGTCAGGTATTACTTATGTTTATAATCAAATTATGAGTAATAACAAATTCAAACCAATTTTCACTTCGGACATTTCTCATGAATTCCCAAAAAAAATTTTTTTTAAAGAATTTATGGTTTGTAATTAATCTGAAAATGATGTTAAAGATATTTTAAAAGTAGTAAATTTGGCCAAAGTCATTTATTCTCATTTTTGTTCTCTAAGATTTGAATTTTTGTAAAAAGCATAAAAGTATAGAGTTGGATATAAGATGATATATTAATCAAACATGAGTTGTGTGAAATGTCAGAAAAGGAACTGTTCTGGCCAATTTTCTAAATGTCATAAAATCATGCAATTAACATAAAAAGAAAAAAGTTCAGACTTCAAAGGTCAGAGGATAAAGTGCAACATTCAGGATTCAAAGTACAATACCAGTTCGTCAAAACCATATAGGTATACAGCTGACTTTTATTCTTCCAGATCAACGAAAGCCTGGTGTTCCTCAGAATGAATGGTAACAAGATAGGTAACAAGGGCGGCATGTATTTTGCACAAATGTTACAAGTCAATATGAACCTGGAGCAGCTGGATGTTGGAGACTGTGATTTGGTAAATCCAAAATGATGTGTGTGTGTGTGTGTGTGTGGGGGGGGGGGGGGGTACACTGTTGCAGAGAGAGAGAGAGAGAGAGTGTGTGTGTGTGTGTGTGTGTGTGTGTGTGTGTGTGTGTGTGTATTCATCCATTTTTGTAGATGTTATAGATTGTGAGTAGATAAGTGCAAAAAAATGTGTATGTGGTGCATTCGTGCATGCATGTGTGCGTTTACATGTCTGTTAAGAAAAAAAATTGAAAGTTATTGTAAAAAGAGAAAAATACAGTAAAACTTCAACCTTACTTTCTCCTTTAAATTGTGGTAGCTGAAATGTTTTGAAATTACAATGTGTACTTCAATACATATTTACAATTACCGTTACTCTAGAAAGAACTGTACGTTGTACTGGTATGTACGCGTGCCTTAGAAGTTCTTTTTTTTATATATTTAGGAGCAGGAAAGCGTAATAGCCTTAGGCACAGTTCTCACTCAGAACCAAACTCTGCGAGCCCTCAATGTGAACAGGCCTATCCTTTTTTCTCACCAAGAAGAATGCACGGTTCATATGGCCAAAACACTGAAGGTAAGAAATTGTCAGTTTTTATAATAATAATAACAATAAATATAATAATAATGAATATAATAATAATAATAATGTTGTTTTCAGATCTTTTGTAGCAATGGCTTATAATTTAATTTTTTAATTGAAATATACATGTTTGCAGTTGAACAGAGCTCTGAAAGAGATCCACATGCCTGCGTATGATAATACATTATTAATTATTTATGAAATATATAATAATTGTGTTTTTTAGGTGAACAGAACTCTCAGAGAGATCCATATGCAGAAGTATGACATGAGAGACTTTGGTGCCACACGACTGGCAGAGAACCTCATGGGCAACTATACTCTACGATATCTGGACTTGAGTTGGTAATTAGTAGATTAATTAACCTCATTTGAAATCCAAAAGACAGCACTGTAGTGTTGCAAATATTTCACTCACATATTAAATGGGACTTAAAAATTTATGTACCAATGCAAAATTGAAAAAAACTCACTATTGAGTATTAATAATGATCGTATTGCATTTCTCCTCTCATGTTTTGTCAAAAATTGTTACCATTTGTTGAAAGATAAAATTTTAACTTTTTAATTTTGTCTGAAAAACTATACCAACTAGATCTAGTATATAGGGTTAAGTTTTGGAACAGTTACATGCAGCTCTTTAGGTTATCTCTGTATATGTATATGCACAAGTCGATTGAAAATAAAAATGATTTTTTTCTTAGTAATCGTATTACAAGAGATGGAACCTTTGAGCTGGCTAAGTTCCTAAAGATGAACACACCTCTAGAGATCCTGGACCTTGGCTACAACAGGCTAGAAGATGATGGGGCAATTCACTTGGCAGATGCACTAACCACCTTCAACACAAATTTACAAACGTAAGTCCTTGGTCATTGCTTTATTTGTAGCTGTTTTTCTGTAATTTCTTTTATACTAGTATATATATATATATATATATATATATATATATATCATTAAAATACATATGCACATGTTCAAGTATTAATTATTAGACTTATTGAACCTTTCAGACTGGTGATCTGCTATAATAACATCAGCAGTAAAGGGTTATGTGCCATAGCAGACTGTATGAAGTTTAACATGGGGCTCCAGGCTGTTTATATCTGGGGAAATAACTTGGAGGAACCTGCAGCCATTGTGAGCATTTACAAAATATATTTTTGATCATCTTTATTTAAAATAAAACTGTAAAAATAGAAATAATGTTAAAAAGGTGGAATGTAGCCTTTGCATTGTATGCTGACCATATAATGAAGACAAGTCCTCTGCTGGTAGTAATAACAATAAGAACAATAATGATAAATGATATTGAAAGTAAATATGACAATTATAAAGTTTTTTATAGCTAATCATGTGAATGATTTTAAAAAATCATGTAAGGTTAAAAATAATTTGGTCATCAAACTTACATTAACATTCTCTTCCAGGCTTTTTCTGGTTTGCTTCAAACAGAACGTCTCCTTCCGAAGAACACAGACGTGCGACCATACGTCGTAGACGGCATCACAATACTTTCTCAACTGAACCATCACATTAGGCGGCATTATTACTGGAAACCTAGCTATGGGGATGATGTCCCTCCACCCAAAACATAAACACTCCTGTGCACAAGGGTGATACTGTGACTTCAGTGTTTTTTTTAGCTATTAATATGGAGAAATAAGATATTTCGTCTACTTCACTAACTTTATTATAATAGGTTTGACTGCAGAACAAGGACAATAAAACCTAAACAATTGTCATGGTCAATAGTAGACTAAAAATTGATGGTTACTTTTATTTTTGTATATTAATAGTTTTTGACAAGAAAAAAAAACAGATTAACTACGAAAATGCAAGAGCTTGTTCAAAAAGCCCCACCATGTAAACCGCCCTTTAGCACCTGGTCCAGCAAGATGACCGCATTCTTTTAAGGACCATGCTAAACTCAACAGGAAATTGACTTAATGACATCACATAGGATTCAGAAGTATGAGGTTGATGTCTTAACTGTGGTGACAGGATGAAGTCTGTCTAATCACATGAACCATTAAGAGTCAATAAGACACTGATAGGGATAACAGGTCCATTGCTAAATTAAGCAGTGATTGAATATATTCAATTGACATGCTTACACAAATGAGTTCATGAACAATATATCATTCATTTTCAATGTACAGCTGTACATAAGTCATCCATTGGAATTTATTTTGTTAATCTCATTGCCCTGATAATGATGAAGATGTCTTTGTTTCATTATTTGTTGTAAATAAATTTCTTTTTTTTTTTAAATGTTGTTTTTATTGTAATTTGATATTAAATTTTATTCATCTCTTTGTGAGAGATACTACTAATACACATAAACTCCAAAATATGGCATTTAAATTTATTCATATTTTTTTAATTAAAATTTGCGTCCAAACTTAACAATTTCTTTTACAAAATGTACATCAATACAAATCCATTTATAGCAGCAGTGAAATGTTATATTTTTATACAGCATATAAAACCTACTACATTATAAAATAAACTAAAATGCATCCAACCCATTACTTGAAACACAATCCTACAACTTGTTTTAATGCTTATTAAAAACATCACTACAAATGCATTTATCTTAAGTTATAAGGAAAATCTCTGCATTGCATTTGTCTACAATTAATGTAGTTTCAAACAGAAAATCTAAATAGATAAATTTGACAAAAGTGGTTGGGTGATTATCGTTTTCAACTGACAATCATATTCTCGATATTTCCCTTTACCCTGTCTAGCCATAGTAAGATTAGTATAATCTTATTTCAATAATCGTATGTACGCTTCTAGCACTTGCCATCTTTATAAGTGTGAAACAATTACTTATTTCAAATATAATAATTGATCATTTAATTCATACAAAACTAGATTTTCACAACTGTAAAGACCATTTAAATTAGGTTACAAACCCTACAGCTAGCTTGTGTATTTTGATTTTATAAATCAATGACTGTCAATATTTCAGTTGTCACATTTAATGATCTAGTAAAAATTATATATCAAAGTACATAATTACAAAAATTAGTTTATAATTACTGACGTGTTAATCATGCTTAAGCTAACATAATTCAAATATTGCACTGAAATTTAAACATTTCTCTTGGCTTTCCCCAGGCACATCTCTTTCTACTACAGCCTTACAGCAGATTATTTATAATTTTTATGGCATAAATGATTTGTTTGTTGACCAAAAAGAACTCTTTCCAAACATACAGCTATATTAAGCCACATTTTTTAACATTGTTATTATTCTTTTACAACCACTTTCTCATCATAGAAGGTTCATAATAACAACCGGAAAAAAATTAATTAAAAAAATTATAAGACATGCTTATGACCTAGATTGTTCTCACTAAAAAATTTGTAAAAAGTTCCAAACTAATCCACTTCTTCATTTTTTCCATTCATTTCTTCTTCATCTGCACTGGTTTCTATGGGAGCCATACTTTCACTTTGACCTTTGACCTCTTGTCCATCTTCACATTCAACAGGAGAAACACTGGTTGCTGCTGCATCCCCAGTTGCCCCTTCGGCTTCCTAAAACACAATTAATATCTGTATTTTTATTTTCTTATCAATGTTTTTCGGTTTCATTTTTTTTAGTCTTATAACTTGCCACACCATCAAAAATCTGTGTAACTAAGACAAATTTTAATGTGATTAAATCAACTAATAGCACATAAATATACAGTTTTATTCTTGGTGAAACAGACTGACTTTACTGACTTTTCATAGACATCCATCTGTTGTCAGTTATCTACAAATAGGCCATCTATTTTACTGAACAGGCTATTTTAATTAGCAGACTAAGCTAATGCCAGTTTAGTGGCCACAGGCCTGCTGATGTACAACCCTGTGACTCTGTTTACACAACAATGACAAGGGGACTGTACTAAGACAGTCAGTGTACAAAACAAAAGATCTTACTGCAGAAACTGTCTTTGTTGCAGCAGTTCCATTTTCACTATTGACAAAAGTTGTTACCATCTCGGCAGCTGTGGTTGTCAAGGTTGGTGATGATGATGATGCCAGTTGCCATGACGGCAGAGTGATTGGCGTCTGAACTGGGGCTGCAGGGAACTGTTTCCTATTTTAAAAAACCAAACAAACAAGGGATTAAATAGGGCATATTCCCTATCTATCCCTCTGGGGTAAAATCATATTAAATTTTCTAACAGACCATTCTGAATATTCTCTTATTCTCTGACCTTGGGTTCATTGGCATGCCTGTTGTCTGGTCTAGGCTTTTTTTTTTTGACAAAATCATTATAATCTTCAGTCATTATTTACGACAGCCACTGCCATAAACCAAATTAGTCAAATTTTGACAGAGAGCTTCTCTACTGAGGAAGAACAATATTCACAAGAAACTCCATGACCTGAAGCTGGTTTGAATATTATGATCCAGTCAACTTCAATCCAAGATAAATCACTAATAGTCCACATAAAAAGAAATTGCTAATGATGACAACAAGAATGACTATTCAGTAACTTAGTTTAAGTAGATTAATATAAATTTAAAAGTAGACTCAAACTTTGAATTTGATAGTTAATACAAACTTTGTCTTAAAAAAAACTCTAGTTATTCCTTCTCTAACTTTAATGTTTATTTTGATAAGATCAGAGCTCTTTAAATTCAGCACTACTTACTTATTGAGCAAAAGACCTTTGAGGGAAATAATTTCCTGTTTGATTTCATTCAGAGATTGGGTATCTTGTTGCCTCACCAAGGCATCTCCTGTCTGAAAGAGTAACCAGTTCAGAAAATGTTAAAAAAAAACTTATCCCCCCCCCCCTTTTTTTTTTTGGATACCCTGTATCTACCAGTAGGAGTTCAGTTTTAAAGCTGATTTCAACAAAAGAGAATACAACAAAACTGGTTATAGATTTATCTTAGTAGTAATAATTAACTGAGGACTAAAATATTTTATCAAAAAATACAAATTGTAACAAGGATAGACACGTGAACCAGTGATCACATGGCATGCCTCCTAACACTACCAGAACAGTTCTATAACATAAAAATATTTAAAAATGAAATAAAAAATTTTAAAAATTACCTGTCTATTTGTGGCAGCATGAGAAATATCCTGGATTTTCTCTTGCTGTTGACTTAACAACTCCTGAATGGCTGCCATACTCGTCTCCAGGCGTTCATATTTTTTGGCCTTGGGTTCATCACCCCGTATCCATGGTAATATAGCTTCCTGATAGAAACAAAAATATTAATCCAATCAGGCTCTTACTCAAACTAAAACTGCATTTTAGTCCTAAGTATCATTCTCAGGGGCGGATCCAGAGATATTTTTGACAGTCTTCCAAATTATCTTTGTTGATCCATCCTCCATTTTTGACCGTCTTCCAACAGGAAAAATAGATACCTGTCAATGTAAACCTGAAAATCTGACCGTTTTCAGGAAGACCCAGAAGATGGCCTCAATCTGCCCCTGATTCTAAGTGCAAGTCAAGCAACAATAAGAAGCTCGGTTTCTTTTTAATGGTGTTAGCAAGGAAAGTGCACGGTGACACCAACAATGACAGTAACAGCGGGGACAGACACAGGTGATGGCTACAAGTCTTCACAGTGTCTGTCCATAAAAAAATTGTTGCAATAATAACTGAGAAATGTCTGATTTCCTTCCCATTTATTATTTGTAACCAATAAATGATCTTTCAGTAATGACTTAAAAGAACAATGCTTATCACTTTTTTTTCTTTTTTAATTGTTTTTACCTTGAATAATCTATACACCCAATATGCACCTCCTCCTGCTATTAATGTCACAATGGCAATATCTTTAACTCTGGTCCACCATGTTGGTAATGGAGCTACAAAACCAAATGTGTTAAGTTCTTGCTAATTTCAAAATATCATTTTAAAAAATCAACTTTTAATTCATGAATCAAAGTTCATTCCCTTAAATACACAATGATATGGGCCATTCTTTTTATAATATTTTTAGCTAAACAGTCAAATAATGTGAACCAGATCAATGGAAAATTGGTGAAAAGCTTTCTAATAACAATAATTATTTCTTCAGTTAAGTCAGAAAATGTTACGATTTTAACAGACTTTAAGGTATAATTCATTAGAGTTACTGCATTATGATGATTTAGGAAAACATCAATCAATAAATTATTGCTCATTAGTAATGGTAATCAATTACTGACAAATATCCAGTAATTAATTTAAAAACTTGTGTATAGTTATCCTGCAATTTTCAAACATCTGAGTTACTCCAATATTCATTTTTAAATTTTTTCTTTTCATCTTAAAATCTTTTTACACAAAAACAAGTTAATTTTCAAAACTTCTGAAACAATATTGAAGTACAATTATTATCAAAACAATCCTATGTGGAAATTTATTTGTATTGTTCAAATTTACAGAGTAATTACCGTAGGTATTATTTGAACTGGACATCTAATAATCTTCATAAATTCAAGGAGCAAAATGCTGTATTACCTATTACTTGAACCTGCTGTGAATGCTGGGGTATATCTTGTAAAGGGGTGCCTGAAGTCTTTATGGCAAGCTCTATTTCCTCACTGGTGAGACCTTCAAATAATGAAAGCAAAACACATCAATAACACATAGGAAGATAATATAAATGTGGCAAGTCACCAAGTTCTGCTTCTGTTAAAAAAAAGTTATTTTTTCAGTTTTTTCAGTTGATATGCCTACATGTACTCTCACATACTAAAAAAATATGGGGAAAATAAAAATATTTCTTAAAAGAACCTCCCTCTTGTACCAATAAAATGCATCAGTTATTCATTACCTTTCTTTTCCAGGAATGCCTTCTTTCTAGATAAAGGTGTGTCTAGGACTTTGGGGTTTTGTAAGAATTTTACTGCTGTGCCAACCTGAAATCGAAGAAAAAAAATCAAGTAAAATTATTCTGATCAATCATTTAACCAAAATATGACAAAATTGCTTTTTCATGTGGTTTAAGAAAATGATAATTTTTACCACTAGTTAATTTATATGAAGACAATAGGCTTGTTGAACAAAAAGTCAGGAAATGGCTTAATTTAAAAAATACAGACATAAATATTTTATACCAATTTTAGACCACAACAGTTCATCCAAGGATAAAGGTAACGAAAGTTCTCCATCTTCGCCATATCATCATCCTCTGATTTAAATCATAAAGTGAAGTGGGGAGAGCAAAATTATAGGAGGGAGACAGAGACAGCCCCCCCCCCCCCCCCCCCCCACACACACACACACACACACACTTGTACATACTAAAGAGAGGCATATAGTATATTCACCTACCAAAGACTGTCTAACCTCAGGAGGAAGGACAGGTACTGACTCTGTCTCTGACATCTGTAATAATAACAATGATGGTGATAACGACTACATGTATATGTTAATAACCATTTAACTGGTATAAGTAATCCCTGTATATAGGTCAGAAAACCAGTGAACAAAACCAATTACGCAATCAGACAAAACATTCACTACATATGCGTACAGTGTATGTCCGTTTTAAAGGACCCAGTACAGGCAGTTTATCATTAGGTTTTTATTTCAATAAAATTGGCTATGCCCCGCTGCCTGTACAGACTCCAGGGCCGTAGACTCCGGGGGGCAGGGGGGCAGCTGCCCCCCCTGGAAGTTGGGGTGCAAAAAAAATAATCGCAAAGGTATAAAAATAATTGCAAAGTTGGTATCAATTCTGTGAGAAAAGGCACTGATCATGGCCACTAGACAATCATTCAACAATCTGTTTACAAAGGTGTACTGTTTTTAGCCAACTCAGTTCATGCCAAAAAGCTCACCCTCCCTGAGGGAGCTATCCCCAAGGCCAATTGGCGTGTTGTGTTGAAAAAATGACTGTACTTATGGCAAAATGAACCCACAATTTCTGACTTCTGGTTGACCAATAAATAACAGTTAAAATGCACCAGAATGCAGTATTATACATACAGTTTTAAAAAATTTTCCACACCGTGGGAGGGGGACACCCCCTCCCACACCCTCCCCCTCGGGGGATTCGCCCCCTCGTGTCCGCTTACTGCCCCCCCTGGCGTTTTGCTCAGGCTACGGTCCTGGACTCTACAACAATTACATTTATATAGCTATGTTCCTTTTGATACGGCACACGCAGTACTAAGTTGGACCTTGTCTCTGTCTTCGGCTTTACATGTTACCTGTGGTTATTAGTGCCCAGGTCAGGGCCATGACAGGCTAGCATGTAGGGACAAGTACAAAAGGAACAAAACGAAACCAGTAGAAATGCTCACCAATTTATCATTGATAAATTTAATTGATAACCTTATAAATTTTCTTTATTCCCCTTGCCGATTAATAAAACAAACACCAAGGAAGACTACAGATTATACTAAATTTATTGAAATGGCATGAAACTAACCTTTTCCCCCTCTTCAGCCATGTTTGACCTATTTCACCTAAGAGAGAAGTCATGGCCTCGGCTTAGCTCCAAAATCGGCAATTATTACTATTGCAATAACGAGGCTTTACGGTAGAAAGAAGGCTAAGGGAACCGCTATCCAATCAAAGTTTTCGTAACAGATCTTCCTAGGCAAAAATGTAAACATCAAGACTAGTTGGCTCCGTTGGCCCAAAAATTACTTCAAAAATAGTTCAAAACTGAAACAATGAAAACACAAAGACCCTGTAAGATTTGGAATGCGACTCGCTCATTGAATTTGAAGAAAGGTGTTGCAGCATCAAATCTAGATGAGCTGATCGAAAAGGGTACACGGATGCATTTTTGTTTAACGTTAAACTTTAAAGGATACTCAATCTACAAATAGTTGTATTTCGAAAGTTTCGTTTCGTTTCCACTGTTGTTGATAATTGCTAGTATATTCTACTGAGTGGTAGACATCAGTATGTTGTTCAATGTTCTTTGCGAAGTTGTCTAAGTGTATTTAAATGAAATTTGTTAGGATAAGCGCTCAAAAATTATATTTTCTAAAAAAAAAAAACAAAAAACCATGGTTACCATGAATTGTAAATATGGACTCTGATAAAATAAAATATTTTAAGAGTTCTGTTTCAAATATGTTAATTTGAAGCAGGTATGGTGGACAGTAGCAACTGAACAAATTAATGAAATTTAATGTTGCAGACTGCATATTAATAGGTGGCTCTTTTTTGTTCGAACACTGCTGCAGGAAAGGAAAAATTAGGAATTCCAGATGACAGCAAAGTGAAAGTAGTCTTAGAAGAAGATGGAACAGAAGTTGAAGATAACGATTACTTTCTTTGTTTGAAAGATAATACAACATTTTTACTATTGAAACCTGGAGAAAAATGGACAAAAGTTAGAGGTATGAGTAATAATTGTTCTTATAATAGCTACATGGTTATATGTAAATATAATTTTAAAGTTTGCATTTTCACTATCTCTCTCTCTTCCACTCTCTCTCTTTCTGTCTTGTGCATACCCCAGTAGTCAGAGAATGAGACTTAATGTTCAAATCACCCCCTGTTCATAGTTTGTGCTTGTGTGTTTTAGAGAGAGAGAGAGAGAGAGAGAGAGAGAGAGAGGAACTGGTACAAGCAGGGTGAGACTTAACCTTTCATAAAGCTGTACAATAAAATAAACTGAACAATTTTTTTTTTTCAGATCCATCACCAGATGAAACAGATTTTGGAAGAGAAATTTACAAAGTGGATACAGACTCTGCAACAAGTTCTGGCATAACTTTTACTATACAGAGGTTGAAAGATAGGCTACAAGAGGACCCTGAAGCATTCTTCTTGTTATCCAATGAGGAACTGCAGGTATAACTGTTTCTGTGGTTCCAAAATTTTTTTAATTAGGCATGAATTTCTAATAAAATTAGGAGGAAAAAGGGCAAACTTTGGTGGTGTTTTTGCTACAGAATGCAATGAGATTTTAATACAAGCATTGTAGCATCTGGATAACATCAAAACACAGGTAGTGTGACATTACAATATAGATACCTTTAAACCATTAGATGGGAAAATTACCAGAAAGTATGGAATTTGTGGACTGAGCATGGTGCATAAAAGACTACTAGTAGTAAACATACAGACCAAAATTCCAGTCTGCTTAATCCAAGATAAATCAGAAGTAGTCCAACTAATTAAAACATTACACCTGTTTTATAGCAAAAAAAAAAAAAAAAAAAAAAAAAAAAAAAAAAGACATGGTTAATATTTCAGATCAGAATTTACTTCATTTAATAGGATAATCATGAATTTATATGGAAATTTCCCTACTTCTTCACAGGACATAGTCGACCTGGACCCACACGAGCTAGCTCGTATTCTTCAGGATAGCACGAGCAATGTGGAAACACTTCAAGAAACATGTCAGAGATATTTGGATGACCGGATAAAAACTTCGGAGGCCATGGAACTATTAAAGCTATACCAGCGTGCAAGTGAATCCAGTGGGGACAACGATGTTGCCCGGCCAGCTAATCATGATGGAAATCCAAAGAGGAAAAGAAAAAGATGATAATTTCTCCCTCCAATTATTCAGTAACTTGGTGTAGATATATATTAATCAAAGAGCATTGGAAGATTCCATTTAGACATGAACAGTAACAATCTGTAAGAGCATCAATAAATGACTTATTGGCAGTTTGTTTTTGGAGGTCTTCACACAAAGCAATGGGCATGAAATTAGTGTGTGGCTAGGCTGAAATTATTAGTCCACGTCCAGCAGAAATAATTAAAGAACAAAAAACAACTTAAAGGCATATTTAATGTCATTGATATGGATCAGTGCATATTCATATTCAGAAATGCTTTTGAACTGGAAAAGCAGATGACAGCTTCAAGTCCAACCCTCCCTCCCAAAAAAAAAAAAAAAAGAGAAAATTGTATTAATGTACAGTAGCTCTATATTCACTTGTAAACAAACATGAAACGTCTGTCTTTCACTCAGTGCTTTACCAATTTATTTGCAAATTGAAAATAAATAATATTTTTCCAATTAGATGATCTCATTTATTTAAACAATAACCGCTGTATTTTTTGTCAAAATCTTATTATGGACGTGAGCTAGCAGTGAATTAGGCTTCATTCACATGCAATGTCTATTTTCTAAATTCTATTTTCTATTCGCGGTATGTCTTATGATCACGGTCTGTGTCCTGAATATCCCGCGGCGTAATTACTGGCAGCGCGAGCCAGTTACTATAAGTTACTATAAGTAACGGGGATATTCAGGGCACAGACCGTGATCATAAGATAGCGCGAATAGAAAATAGATTTTTAGAAAATAGACATTCCATGTGAACGAAGCCTTAGCCAAATGCAATTGTGTTAGTTGCGCCATACGAAACAAAATTTTAAACGCTTTTTAGCTCCACTTGTACTTCAGAATGTCAACATTGCCCCGTTGAAGATTGGAAGATTGACCCGCAAGAATATATCGGGTGCATTGAAATATTAGAGGTAATATGTTCATCATTATTGTTTTCATCCTTAAAATCATTCAGATTGGTGAAATGTCTGTCATAGAATAATGGTTAGGAGGCTGTGTACTATCGCAAAGTTCCTTTTGTCAAACTGGCATACCTGATACATGCATGCAAAAATAATTTACGTACCCCCTGCTAGGGCCGCAGATTAATCGTGCGCAGTTTCTCTGGAGATGTGTGCCATGAAATAGCCAAAGACAACTGTGAATATCTAGTGAAGAATCAATCTGTTAACCTAGTAGAGGGTNCCCTTTACACTGGACAGCATCCCTTCTGCGTCCAGCAGTTCGGCCCCATTTGAGAGTAAAATAATTATAATACTTTACGTGCCGACAACTGGCCGATCATTGAGCATTCATTCTGATACCATATCAATGCTCGTGCCTCCTTATTAAGACCACAGCGATGCCAAATTTCATGGTCACAGAAAGGACGCAGAAAGGACGCCGTCCAGTGCAAAGGGGGTATAAAGAGAGACATATAGTATATTCACCTACCAAAGACTGTCTGACCTCAGGAGGAAGGACAGGTACTGACTCTGTCTCTGACATCTGTAATAATAACAATGATGATGATAACAACTACATGTATATGTTAATAACCATTTAACTGGTATAAGTAATCCCTGTATATAGGTCAGAAAACCAGTGAACAAAACCAATTACCCAATCAGACAAAACATTCACTACATATGCGTACAGTGTATCACCCCATTTCCATAGATTTTTAGATCGATCTATCCCTGTGGGGAGTCTCACTAAATTACTTGCAGCTTGGCCGGCTTAAGCGTCTGTCCCGCCTACTAAAAGCTGTAAGGGGGTAATTAACTATGGTGCCCGCTCGGCTGACTGCAATTTAGCGTGAAACCCCAGGGAGTTAGGTCGATCTAAATCTTCATCTTTAGATCGATCTAAATCTCTGGGAAAGCACCCTATGTCCGTTTTAAAGGACCCAGTACAGGCAGTTTATCATTTGGTTTTTATTTCAATAAAATTGGCTATGCCCCGCTGCCTGTACAGACTCTACAACAATTACATTTATATAGATGTGTTCCTTTTGATATGGCACACGCAATACTAAGTTGGACCTTGTCTCAGTCTTCGGCTTTACATGTTACCTGAGGTTATTAGTACCCAGGCTAGCATGTAGGGACAATTACAAAAGGAACAAAACGAAACCAGTAGAAATACTCACCAATTTATCATTGATAAATTTAATTGATAACCTTATAAATTTCCTTTATTCCCCTTGCCGATCAATAAAACAAACACCAAGGAAGACTATAGATTATACTAAATTTATTGAAATGGTATGAAACTAACCTTTTCCCCCTCTTCAGCCATGTTTGACCTATTTCACCTAAGAGTGAAGTCATGGCCTCGGCTTAGCTCCAAAATAGGCCATTATTACTATTGCAATAACGAGGCTTTACGGTAGAAAGAAGGCTAAGGGAACCGCTATCCAATCAAAGTTTTCGTAACAGATCTTCCTAGGCAAAAATGTAAACATCAAGACTAGTTGACTCCGTTGGCCCAAAAATTACTTCAAAAATAGTTCAAAACTGAAACAATGAAAACACAAAGACCCTGTAAGATTTGGAATGCGACTCGCTCATCGAATTTGAAGAAAGGTGTTGCAGCATCAAATCTAGATGAGCTGATACAAAAGGGTATACGGATGCATTTTTGTTTAACGTTAAACTTAAAGCCGTAGCGATAGTCCGAAGGTTCATTGGTCCGAATGTTCACTACATGTATAGAACCCTCGGACCAATGAACCTTTGATTAAAAAATCGATGAAAATGTTACCACTTTTCGGACCAATGAACCTTCGGACCAATGAACCTTCGGACTATCGAGACGTCCACAACTTTAAAGGATACTCAATCTACAAATAGTTGTATTTCGAAAGTTTCGTTTTGTTTCCACTGTTGTTGATAATGCCATTGCTAGTACATGTATATCCTACTAAGTAGACATCAGTATGTTGTTCAATGTTCTTTGCAAAGTTGTCTAAGTGTATTTAAATGAAATTTGTTAGGATAAGCGCTCAAAAATTATATTTAAAAAAAAAAAAAAAAAAAAAAAAAAAAAAAAAAAAAAACATGGTTACCATGAATTGTAAATATGGACTCTGATAAAATAAAATATTTTAAGAGTTCTGTTTCAAATATGTTAATAAGTATGGTGGACAGTAGCAACTGAACAAATTAATGAAATTTAATGTTGCAGACTGCATATTAATAGGTGACTCTTTTTTGTTCGAACACTGCTGCAGGAAAGGAAAAATTAGGAATTCCAGATGACAGCAAAGTGAAAGTAGTCTTAGAAGAAGATGGAACAGAAGTTGAAGATAACGATTACTTTCTTTGTTTGAAAGATAATACAACATTTTTACTATTGAAACCTGGAGAAAAATGGACCAAAGTTAGAGGTATGAGTAATAATTGTTCTTAGCTACATGGTTATATGTAAATATAATTTTAAAGTTTGCATTTTCACTATCTCTCTCTCTTCCACTCTCTCTCTTTCTGTCTTGTGCATACCCCAGTAGTCAGAGAATGAGACTTAATGTTCAAATCACCCCCTGTTCATAGTTTGTGCTTGTGTGTTTTAGAGAGAGAGAGAGGAAC